TTTTAGTGGTTGGATTAAACTGTGACTGATTTGGTCTTGTGTGCTGTCATGGGTATGAGAGCGGATGTCACTTTCTGTTTGCCCCATAGTGTGGAACAGTGTTTCTTGAGGAGCCTGAAAAAGATATTGATCTGATCGACCTGGATGATTGGCTGCAGAGCCCGAGGGCCAACTGGTTGTGGCCGGTCACACATAGCTTTTTTATGGGATGTTTTTTGCGTGTCAGCTCTGCTTTTCAAAAGATTTTATCGTCGGAGACGGATTCCGTAGGGTGAGTGAGATGTAACATTGTTAGGGCCGGTCTTTTCTAACCCCTTTCTTCCATTGTGAGAAGGGAGAATCTCTGCAGATGTTAGTTGTCCTAGGGAAACACCTTGATGTTGACACAGTCAGCAGTACGACTTGGCCCTCAGACCTTGATTTGCTGCTTTTAGTGTCACCGTTCTACAGTCGATCTGGCTGTCATGGTAGGACCTATAGGAGCATATGTTCCAGCCAACAGAGCTTGGTTGGATTATCACGAAAGGTAAGCTCGATTACCACATCAAGGTAGTGCCTACGGTCGGGGCTTAGTGGTCTGCTTTCTAACTAATTACCTACCAACACTATCCATTCATACCTAAATATAAAACTTGTTATATAAGTAGGGGAGTTTATCAAAAGTTCTAAAATCCATTTTATAAAACTGGGAACATAGTTTTCCTATCTGTATCCTAAGAACTCACCTGTTAAATTGTCTCAATTTATTTCTTATTTTAAATATATAGAAATAAATTCATCTTATTTGCCTGGAGTTCATTTGACTAACATTGTTTACAAAATAAAAAATGGGTAAAAACAAATAGATCACGTTATAATAAACTGTAAATAAAATTCATTTTCAAAACATCAATGTTTTGCAATACTTACTTAATCTTTGAAAAGTTTCCAAGTAAACATGTGGATTACAATATATATATATATATATATATATATATATCATTCAGTACATACAATTCAATGTTTTCACAAAAAAACAATAGAATACAGATCTATTTATGATATTTTAAACATTGTGAACGTTTGAATTTGTCTGACTTTTACTTTGGCTGAATGTAATTATGTATTTGGTTACTCTTAACAACTGGCTCACATTATTCGGTCGGTAAACGTAAGGATTTCAAATGCACACACATTAGGATATTTATTATAAATAGATCATTATTTTTGTTATTATTATTATCAACTTACCACTAAGTACTCAATATATTTTTAGCTACCAAGTCAAATCTTGTTATTAATATCCTTACTTACTTACTTAACTGCTGTTACCGCTAATCGAACACAGGCCGCTGACCGCGGTATTCTCTAACCTATTTTGTCCTGGACCTTCCTTTCCATCTTTTCATATCTAATTCCAATTCTAGGCGTAATTTGTTGCTTAACCTTCCTCTTTCCCTTTGACTTTGGGGACTCCAAGTGAGGGCTTGTGTTGTGACGAAGTGTCCTATTCACTTCCAGCGCTTCTTCCTGGTTTCCTCCTTCAGTGGAATCTCGTATGTTCTCTCCCGCAGTAGGTTGTTGTTGATGGAGTATGTCCAACGTATTCTCAGTACCTTGCTTAGACAACACTAATATCTTGTGGATAATGGCTTTTGCGGTTCTCCAAGTTTTCACTTCATACAATAGAACTGTTTTTGGCGTTTGTATTGAAGATCCTGACTTTGGTGTTGTTTGACAGTTGTTTTGATTTCCAGATGTTCTTCAATTTTAGAAATGTTGCCCTTGCTTTACCAATCCGTGTCTTTACATCTTAATACCTAAGATAATAATAAAATTTAATTAAAAATATTTGTTGGCCTAAATTAATAATCAGCTATACTGGTTTGGAGAATTTCAATAACATTGGATTCTGTATTATGATTATCAATCACCCTACCCGTATGATGATTGTTATTTCAATTCATGAAACATTCAACTTTTGTTTACTGCTTTATTCAAAAAAGTTATTGCATACCTTAATTTCAGTCTGGATTTCTGAAATTGTTTTTCATTAATTCTGTTTCATAAAACAATTGTTTTAGTTTTATTAAAATCATGAATCGATCATTTTAATAAGACTACTATTATAAACCTGGTAGCACCGGATGACCGTTTTGTCCCGGTATTCGACTCTTCAGCAGTGCGCATCCACACCCACACACGGGTATCGAACCCAGGACCTTTGATATTCCTCGCGAACGCTTAATCTCTGAACTACTGAGCCGACATCCAACTTCAACCAGTCCATGATATTCCATGACATCATCCATTGCTGATGAGTTCAGTACTAGGACGAAACAACTATCCATCACTTTCGGGCTTCTAATGCTGGTCTAATATTGATCATCAACTTATGGTTTCAATGAAACTCAACAATCTTCATAACTCTTTAATGAAAATATTATTTTATTAGTGAGCTATAAATCATTATAAGATTCTATAATCCCACGTATCAAAGTTTAATCTGTGTCATATATTCTCAACGTTTTTATTTTCTAAAAATGAAATCATAAAATCTGATATTATTCAATTAAGCAACATATAAATATCAGTCGAATGATTATCTCATTATGAAGTAGTTGATATACACATTGATCAAATACTGTGTGTATTGATTACACAAATTAAATTAATAGACAACTATGATTATTAGAGCAGAATTCAAATAGTCATTGTCAAAAATTTTTATTGAAAGATTACTACATCCATCTACTTACTCATTAATTTACGTGTAAGAGTGAGTGAGGGCTGTTCAGCTTAATAATTAATTCATTATGATTACTAAGCGTTTCAATTTCATCCTAATTGTTGTAAATGAATATAAATAGCGCAGTTAGTTATTACCATATTTTTTAATTAGAAGAAGATTAGATTTAGTCTGGTTATAAGCAATTGGCCAGGATCTAGATGAGTTTCATTCTAGTGTAGACATTTTTGTAAGGCATTACGTGAATATTAGAGGAGTTGATATTGCTAATAGAATTCCCATTTTGTACTAGCAAGTAGTGTGGTGTACGCTACTGATGTGATTATAAGTAGTATATGATATCAAACGGAAATCAAACGTCTGACAGCAAAAGATCGAGAAGGAAAGAATGAGAACAGAAGGCGATTTGTGGGTAACGTAAAGTGAACTGAAGTCTGAACAGTCTAAATGAAAGAACACTGAAATTTGAAACAAATAAGGATTAGTTTGCAAATGATGATTTCACGGGAAGGTTTTGTACATATGCTTAACAACTCTGTAATATTCGCTTAAATATAATTGTTGATGTGCACAACAGTAATATAGTTAGAAGTGTTATTATTGAAATATTTTAGCGATGATTTACTAATTACGCTAAACTAATACTGGTAACTGCCAATTGAAAGGTAGAATTAAATTAACCTTAAGGAGACTAGATGAACATAGCATTGGTTACTTACTGTTTAACAATTAATAAGCGTAATTTATGCTCTATTTTTAACTTGTCTCACTTAATGTATGGATGCACGTTTTTATTTTTCACTGGGATTCGCTTTTTCAGTAGTATCTTTTAATATAAAACTGAATGAGTTCCGAATCCATTTAAAAAAAATCTAGATTCAGTTTGAGTTAAATAAATGTTACAAGATAGTTCTAATCAGTACATAGTAGTACTAATGTTCATAAAGTCACTGGATTCACCTCATGAGAAATTCAGTCAACAAATTAGTCTTAACACTTTGGTACTTCTGATTAACTTCTTACTGAATATTCACTAGCGACATCACAGACTGATCTTATTAGTTGTTAGGCAACCATTGAAAACCGGATAGCACTGGCAACTGTTTCATGAACTCTTCACCAACGCATATCAACCTATCCATTCTGCTGTAGATTGATGAGTTTTTATTGGATGGTGTACAAGTCTAATTTCAATCAATTCACTGCACGCATTATGCCGTCATCTTCTACTGTCTATGGGACGTCACTATCACACCCGAAATAGTTCAACTTTACTAATCGTATCTTCTTGTATTCCTGAAATCACATCTGGAAATTTTAGTCATTACTGATCACGTGAATAAATTCTTTCTATTTTTTTAATACTTATTACTGAACAATTTTTTTTTCTCAAAATATTTCGTAAAAAAATTTGTACTAAACGAGATTCATTTATCATACATACTTCTGCTACTTACTGCTCAGCAAATTAATCAATTTTCTGTTGTTCTTGTTTTGAAAATGCATTCTTTTTCTATTTTAATTATCTTAAGTAATTAATGTCTTCCTTTTTCTAAATAAAAATCAACCCATTTTTATGTATATATTTTATATCGCATATCTTATTTTAAAAATAAGTTTCCTCTGCCTAATTCATATTGTTTTAATATCCACCTAATTTCTATTCTCTCCCATTGTGTTGATCTATAATAGTCTTTCATCTTGTTGGTTTATTCATCAAACAGGGAATTTCTATTGTCCATTGTACTCTTAAATGAGAAGACCGGTTTAGATTGTAATGAATGACCTTGAGATTCGTTGTTTTTCCTTACTGCTACTACTACTAGTACTACTCCACTTAACTACAAATTTCCACTATATATATATCTATCTATCTATCAACAAAAGTTTATTCTATAGAATTACTGCCTTCATCTATTTTGCTCCAATCCGTTCATTCACATCTGAATACCAGATCATGTGACCTTGATCCGAAAGGTTCCTATTCCCATTTTCTTAGTGACCTTCGGATTATTAGTTTTTTTTTCTTACATTAATTTTTAATTTTTTTACTTTACTGGTTGGTTATATTTATTGTTCTACCAATGTAACATGCTGATTGGTGGTTAAGTTTTTTTTTTTTAAATTTCATTTATATAATATTAATTAAGAAAAAAATAATAATAATTAGTTTCCCTACTCCTATGAATTTTTTTTAAAGCTTTGCTTAGTTTTTTTTCTCATCCACACATAGACGTACACACACTTGTTTTTTTTTTTCACTTGAATATAGAAATGCGAATAAATCTTTGGAATTAGTAAATAATGCTGACCGATTATCACAATCTAATCACAACATTATTAACACGGATGATAATAATAATAATAACAATAATAGTAATCATTCACCAAAAACTCCTACAAATTTAACATCTGATAAGAAACAACTGCTACAATCCAATCAACCACAACAACAATTGTCAAAATATTCACAAATTGTAACTACTACTACTACTACTCTTTCTACTACTGCTACTACTGTTTCAACGAAATATAATCCATATGTTGGTGCATCATTTCGTGAGAATCGTGATTATATTGGTTTAGTTATTGGTCGAGCTGCTGTTACACCTTCACCGATTACAACTACTGTTGATATGCATCAAACTTATCAAAGTATTGAACGAAGACCGTTAAAAGGTAGATTTTCTTTTTCTTGTTTTACTTGAAGCAATAAATGGTTATTATTTGTTAAGTGTATAACTAATAATATCAAACATCATTATTACTTCGGTCATAATAATAATAATACTTATTATTATTATTTTGCTTCAATGAAATCGCATTGACTAATTGTTCACAGACATTTTGATTGGTAAAATTAATACCAATGCGTAACATGTTACTGAATGTAAAATATCATTAGGATTTTCAAAATTCTTTGTCTCAAGTACTCCAACAGTGATGAATGTTCTGTATTCG